TTATGAACATTTTCTGTTAACATGTGACAGTAAATGCACTAATATCTTGTGATAGGCATATTGAAAAGATAATTGTCACACAGTAGCACATTTAATCTGGCTGCTTTTCATATGGACAACCATGAACTTATTTCCTTATTTCTAATGTATGTTTTTCATTCTCATCTGATGATTACTTTTTACTTACTTTTTCAAAACTTGATGCTTTGTTTAGGTTCACAGGAATAAAGTTGTAGCATGTCAGAAATGTATATTTTTATATACAAGACAGATTGTAGGCAGGTGGTCTGTTTACAAGACTACTATATTTTCCCCAAACCTGCTAATCTCCTAAATAGGCATGTGTGGATGACAGTGAAAGCTTCAGGTGTTTTGGGTATCTAAATTTGGTTGAAGCATTTAAATTCTGCTGAAACTTAATTGCATGCTTCTCAACAAGACTCTCTCTAAAAAGAATAAATGGCAAATAATTTGACCCATGCATAGTATTGGATTCAAATGTCACTACCTTGGTGTACTCTCTTGCTAATAAAGTACAGCAGGACCCTCGTATCCACTGGTTCAGTTACCATGTTTTCACACAACTGGGGTTGACCTTGGTTCAAAAGAGAAGTCATAAAGTGCTTCCTTTAAGTGAAAATTCTCAATTTAATAGGGGAAGAACAAAATGGTATGCTGAGGTTGCTAAGCTGTAGGTTAAGAACAAATTTTCTGTCTGTGAAATTGAGAAAAGAGAAATGTATATGTGCAATATATAGTGTTGGCTATCACCTGCTGTTTCAGATATCCATGGGAGGGCTTGGAACTTATCCCCGTGGATATGGGGTCCTGCTTTACTTCTTTTTAAAATAAAGCCTGGGAAAGTAGTTTTACCTAGTGACATTCTCAACATGAAAGGATGTTTCTTTGCATAAATCAGCCTTCCTCCACTTTACCGGTGTCCTCCAGATGTTTTGGACTGCAGCTCCCAGTATTCCTCACCATTAACCATGATGACTGGGGCTGATAATGTTTGTAGTCCAAAATATTGGAAGGGCACCAGGTTGGTAGGCCTTATCATAGTCCACATAGGAGTGGCTTGGCTGTTGGAAGTGAATGAGGAAGCTTTTGCTCATGTGAGCATAAGGAGCAGGTTGTTGTGTCCTCTGAGCCTGAGAGACTAACAACTTCATGGTTTGCTATTATAGCTACACAGCTGCTTGGCAAGAGCAACAAAAGAGCCTGTGCCACTCACTTTTTGCAGTTTCGCCAGTGACTGACACTCCACCAATGCCAAAAATGTCACTTATGGCTATTCCTTATTAGTATTGACAAGATAAAGTTACCTACCAGCTAATTATGTGCACTTGTGAAGGACATGGGGAGAATAATAGCAATGGAACGAGCCACTAGTGCAAGTCAAGAGCACCAAAAACAGTGATGAGGAGCCAAAGGAGCAGTCATACTTTGCAGTTGGCAATGTGATCCTCCCAGTTTTAAGTGCTGAACTGACGCTTAGCAGTCTTGTTTACCCTTCAGTTCTTTTCTGACTTTCCAGCTATTCCGGAAAGGATTATTGTCTCCCCTTCTTCTCATGGATCCTGTTTGGAGTAGTTACTGCAGTTCTCTGACAGTTAAAGGGGGGGAAAATTACACACAAAAAGGTAGGCAAATAGAATGGCTTAAAAGTAAATGGTGGTGAAAAGCATATAAATGTAATGGCTGGGAAGGAAATGGAGGGGTCCTTGCAGGGCCTTATTAATTATTAATTTATGCACGTGTGCAGAATTATTCTCCATTTACTTCCCAGCCATTAGATTTGCATATGTTTCTATGTTTTCTTTTTGGACTGTCAGAGAACCATGGTAAGTGCCATAAAAAGGAGCTGTGAAAAGACAGGGTGGAGTTAATACCTTTCCTTTCAGGTGTTGCTGCAGGCTTGGAGATGTGTTTAAAAGAAAGATGACACTGAGAACTGTCAATTCAACATTGAAAATAGAGAGGATTGCATTGCTAAAGGGAGGATAAAGTCCTCTTTTGGTGTACCTTTTGCTCCCTTTTCCTCTTTAACAACGCTTTCAACAGACAATATGGCAGGTTGTGAGGATGAAATGGAACTACAATAGCTACCTTGCATTTTTCACAAGAGGGGAAAAGGTCGGGCATGCAATATAATAATTGTAATAATTGTAATAATAATGATTTATTTGAGGCTCCAGATTTATTTGTGACAAGCAAAAATGGTTAGCAATCAGAGGGTGGAGGGGTAGACAGACTGGTTCTGCAGCAAAAGAGCTTAGGATATGTGCCATGCCTGGCTGGAGGAAGGAAGGAAGAACAGGCCACGGTAAACTCCATTGGTCTGTTGGGCAAGCAGACAACCTGCTGTGGCTTATTCACAGGGTGGTTTAATGTGACATGCAAACGTGTCAACAGCTTCCCACTCACTTTCGTAAGAAGAACAATTCTGTTCACTCCGTGAAATGCTGTTAGGTTTGCTTGTCAGTTTTGGAATAAATGAGGACAGGCTGGCTCACATGGACACTGCATAAGAAGCTGTAGGACTGGCCTATTAACGTGGTATTGCCACTGTTGGAGCTGTGTCCATTCTATTTTATCGTATTTTATTTTCTTGTTACCTTTAGTCTGCACAAACAGAGCTATGATCTCAGGTTGGCCATGTGTGCACTCTGAATGTTCTGATGGTAGAAGAAATCTCCTTTTGTATTACCAGTTCAGGATTCAACAAACCATGTGATGTCTAGAGAGAGCAATTATAAAGAGTGCAATTCAAAATTAGTGCTCAAATTAGTGCTATCACTGCTCTTCTTTGTATGTGTTTATTATAATCTTTGGCAGCCTTGCCCGTCTAATGTTCTCCTGATGTTTTGCACTTCAGCTTCTCTCAGTGCCAGCCAGTATGGACAATGGTCAGGAATTCAAGATCTGGTCCCAAAAACTGGAGACCAGGTTGGGAAATATTGGGCTACTGAGTATTACAGACACCTTGGGCTCTCTCCAGATTTCCAGAAAAATAAAATGATGTAACTTGCATAGTTCTACACAGAATATAAAATTAAAAATATATGTTGAGTTAGTTGCTTCTGTTGAAACCCTAACAATCTGCCCGATTGCTTCCTTCCATATTTCTTTTTCATATGTTGAATTCTAATCCTGAACATGTAAACTTGCCCAAAGTATGCCACATACGTTTTGACTCTTGAAGAATGCTGATACAAAAATATAATTGTATATTTAGGCTTTACTTTTTTTACTCGTTTCTTGACTACATAAGTTGATTTTGCTTGTTTGGTGCTTTTGCAAAAATTTTCTCATCTTGCCAATATTTTGGGAGAGCCTGGGCCTTTCTGTAGCTTGATAAGTATAGCGTTATGGTTGGTGGATCAACTGCACAGCAGGCAGCAGAACCTTACCTTACCATGCAGAGTTTTTTGTAAAAGTGTAACATCATAATACTAAGTTGAGTTGTGCCCCGCTAGTGTGTGTAGAAGGGGAAAGGACTGAAGTAAAAATGTTCTTCCAATTTGCAAGGCTGGTTTGCTTTACACTGCGCCTCCTATACTGATGAACAAAACTCCATTGTATAGAGATATCAATATGGCACCTTCCCAGGCATCCAACCTCCCACATATATGTTGGTATTTTAATAGAACAATTCAGCAATTGCTAGTGTAACCAGCTGATCAAAGTGCCCTGGCAAAGTAGTTGGGTCTGTTCCAAAGCACAACGCTTCCTTAGAGGGGAGTACTTGCTGAGACGCAGCGTTCTTCACTCTGTAAGGAGCATGCAGTAAGCTTAAGGCACTGGAGCAGTGGGGTGTGGGGAGCTGGGCGCACACTAACATGTATCCTTAATATCGCTTTGGAGTATTAGATTAACCCGCCTCAGGCCTTAGAACTTGCTGTCAAGCAGCATTCTGATAATGGTTTGGGTTCTCTCATACTGCATCCCAATTATATGGCTTCTGTGAGTGGAAAATGTCCAAAGGTATCATGCAAGACCATTTTCAGTGGTCGCTTATCTCCTGCCAGTTTAGTGCTGCTTAGTGTGCAAGAACAGACTGGAAAATAATAGTCAGAGCAAGCTATTTCTACAGATAAGGTAGCTCTAGAGTGTTAGGGCAACTTAGACTCACTAATTGGGCCAGAAAAAGCAAGCTTCCCATGTTGAATATGGACAGATAGAAGCAGCAGTAAGACAGACTTAGCAAGAGTTTGTAGATTCTCCGTTTGTCGTAGTTATGTGCTGTCAAGTTGTCTCCAACCTATGCTCCAACCCCCAAAATGCCCTGTCCATGACAGCCCTGCTTAGCCATTCCAAATCAAGGCTGGGGCTTCCATATGGAGTCAGTCCATCTCATATTTGATCTTTCCTTTTTGGGAGGCTGGGGGGTTGGCTTTGCCTAGCATGATTGTCTTCTCCAGGGATACTGCCTTCTCACGACGGGTCTAAAGCAGGGGCCCTCAAACTTTTCCACCAGGGGGCCCATTGAAAGATGCTGGGCGCGAGCCAGGAAGGTGGTGCCAGCCGTGTGCATGGGCCAGCGAGGGGGGGGAGCACACGTGCTGAGGCGGGAGGCGTGGGGAGGCGAGGGGGCGGGCGCATGAGACACTGTTTTCTCCGAGTGAGCAAACCGCTGCCTCTCTGCGCACAGGGCGAGGTGGGCGGCGGCGGGCACGCGCAGCAGTTTCACATTGGCATGGCAGGCCGGATCTGGCCCCCGGGCCATAGTTTGAGAACCCATGGTCTAAAGTATGGCAGCTTTAGGAAATTTTTCATTGTCCTACCTGCCAAATAGATCTTTCCATAAACTCTCAAGGAAAGAATTGGCACATCTCTAAAAACAAGGCTGAGTGCATAACGTAACTTCTAATTTAAAAATCACTGTTCTCTTTCTTGCTTAAACATTTGTCAAAAGCCCTCAGCCACCATTTCCAGAAAAAAAAAGTTGAACTTAATTCTGGGTATGGCTTATCGTCCTTATTCTCTTGTTTTGGCAGATTCCTATTCGGCCTCCTCCAATGAAAATGGCGGGAAATCAGAATCAGTAGCCACTTTACAGCCTCAGACATCCCTCAATTCCATCCAGAGCTCCCCAGGGCCAAAGCGCTCAACCAACACCCTGAAAAAATGGCTAACGAGTCCTGTGCGCCGGCTGAACAGTGGGAAGGCAGATGGTAACATCAAAAAACAGAAGAAAGTCCGTGAAGGAAGGAAAAGCTTTGACCTGGGATCCCCCAAGCCTGGAGATGAGACCCTACCTCAGGGAGACAGTGCAGACGAGGTGCAGAAGCAGTCTGACATATTTCTAAAGAATGCCTCCTAGCATGTTCATTGTCTTGTTCTCTCATAATAGATGCTTGATAAAGAATAAGTTCTAAAGTTCTGGCAGTAGAAAAGTGCTGTACAACAACAGCAAATCCTCTTTCTGCTCTCCCTGCGCAGGAGCCTTGCATTCAGCCATGCAGGCTTGTTACTCCCCCAGCTGCTGTTCACATCCATGTAGCAGCTGGAGGAGTAACTTTTTGGACTTCTCTAGACTTGGGTGTGTCTACTGTCTACCATATCTGTTGTGCCACTCAAAGGGAGCAAAGTCACTCGTGGAGCATTTTTATTTCCTGCCATTTTCTTTTTCCCCGATCTCCTTGTGGCACAGGCTGCATAAGCTTTTTGTTCCTCTTTTGAAGTTGTCATGGATGCTTTTAAATGTTTGACTTGCTCCTGATGACGGCATTTGTTTCATTATTTATTGGTGGCACATTATGCTAATTTGGCAGAGAGTGATATTAAAGCAAACAAATGGAGCTGGATCATTGAAAAGTGCTAGTATGTTAATTCAAGTAGTTTTGCAAGCCCAGAACAATTAAGTTCAGTCATGCCTGTGTGTCTGTTCCAGTTTGATGACGTTTTTGAAGACTGATGAATGGAAATTTGATTTTAAGTAGCCAGATGATAATTTACCATTTTAAACAGCACGGTAGTCATTCCTGGGCACAGTTTAAAGATCTCATGCTGTGATGAGTACTTGACTTATTTAGACTTGTCTAAATGACCTGTCTTCAGACCTTTTTAGACAGAAATTACTTATGGATTATCTGAATAATAGCTGTTTTAACATTCTTTATCAGACCTTTGATTGTACAATATAGGTCAGACCTGAACTTGTCCCTCAGAAATCGCTTTCGTTCATGGAGGGATCTGGGATCCAAGGAGGAATTCCTGCTTGAAAAAGGTGGTAGGGCAGCAATTTTTTCAGATTTCCTGTACAGACATATGACTGTGTTGTTCTGGAGAATTTCCCAATTCTGCTGGGATGCTTTTGGGTAAAGAGGAATTAAAAAAAATTGCTGCTCTCAGGACCAGTAGAATGTTGTTGAGCTCTGGACTGGATCTGACACCACATGTGTAGAACCCCCATTCTCTTTGTCAAGGCATTATGGAGAGGAGAGGATAGAAATTATACTTCATTTGACATAAAGCTGAATGTTATAGATTGCAACAAAATTATCATCTCCCCTGTCCTTTTGCTCCCCACGGTCTGGATTGCAATTGATCTGATCATGAAGTTCTAAACACACTAAAGAGGCTTTATCACTTCTTTTTCCCTGTTGGTAATGATAATTCTGTTGCTTTCAGAAGACCAAGAAAGGTTGGGGCGAAGATGAACCAGATGAAGAATCTCATACACCACTTCCTCCTCCAATGAAGATTTTTGAAAATGATCCTACACAGGATGAGATGGTAGGGCCCTGACTATTTTCCCTCCTCAGAATAACTTTGCTTTAAAAAAAATCCTGCTAGGATCCAAGGAGTGTGATGATTCATTAGGCTACAATATATTAAACTTTGTTATGCATCCTCACTTCCTTTCCAGAAAGAGAACCACTGTGCAGTTCACATTCAAAGTCCTTTTTACAGTGCCTAAGCGTATTAATCTCCGTTTCTCCTATCCCTGCATTGGTCAGAATATTCATAACTTCACTTGCTTACCACTGCAGCTTGAATGTTTTTCTTTCATTCTGTATTTCATGCCTTTACTATAAAGCAGTGGCTTTCCAACCTTTACCTGCAGGACACAGTTGGCCAGCTATCACATAACAGTGGCAAATTGTGCTGGGTTGTGTACTGGCTGCATGCAACTGTCACCATGATAATCAACTTTTGATCATTCTAATTGTGTTCTGATCTGCAAATCCAGCTACTAAGGGTTATGTTTGGGTTGGTCACCTGTAATTGTAGGTTAACTATGGGTTGTTTAACCCACAAATAATTCATAAATCTGGGTTCATACATCACAAAACATTTGGTGGTTGGTAATTCAAAGCAGCAATAGTACATGCTGCAGCCTGGTAAGTTGTGAGTTGGTTAATTAATTTATTTATTAACCTACAATTTGATACCATTATCTGCAAAATGGGTCTGCAAAATGGCTAAGGAATGAATGAGCTTTGTGGATTTATGAGAACTATTCTAGTGAGAACACTCAGTTTACACTGGGCATTGGCCAAGTCTGTTGGGCTTACATTTCAGGAAAAATAGATGAGGCAAGGTGAATATGGAAATATTTTTATGGATGTTATACCAAAGTCCAGAAAAGCCATGAACATCTATAAGAAGTTTAGTGAACAGTTCTCACCTTCCCACATCTTACTTTGTCATCTCTTTCTGTGACAGGTGCTACATTTCATTAGTCATTAGATGTACAGGCTGTTCACAGTGCCGTAACTTTCTTGCTGTGTAGCTAGGAGCAAGCTTAATCTTACATTCTTCTGACACAGAAATGCAGAACAGGGAAAATCATCTATGTAACCAAATTATAACTCTACCCGAGTTATTTTGTCATAGGACTGAACAATGCTGTACAATACTTAGAACTGGTTCGTGCAGGATTGAAAATTGCAGAGAAGGAGACAATCAAAATGATTGGAGACTGGAGCACCTTCCTAATGAAAAGAGGCTGCTATGATTTGACTTTCTCCATTTTAGAATCAGGAGGACATGGCAGAGGTTTATAAAATTATGGTTGAGGTGGTGAAATTGGATGATTTTTACTTCCTTTCCTTATAATACTAGAGTTTGAAGTTACCCAGTGAAACTGGTTGGCAGAAGAGAGTGTTTCCAAAAAGAATTTCTCCATACAAAACGTAATTCATTTATGGAATTTATTTCTGTGTTTTGACTTTAAAAGAGGAGTAGACAATTTTTTGGAGAGTAAATCTTTTGAAGATTGCTAATCATGATATCCGGGTGCAGAGGCAGTATACCACTGAATGCCTGCTACTGAGAAGCAACAACAAAAGGACTTGGATGGTTCGTAGTCCTGATACAGCAGGCCTGGTTTGTGCAAAGCTCATGAGAGCGACTCCTTGTAATGCAGCTGTGTGGGTGGAGTGCTACCTGTTGAGCAATTGATATGAACAATCCCAGTATGATTTTAGAGGGTTTTAAGAACACCACTGCACTCAGCCCCCACAAAATGAGAGAATGGTGCTAATTTCATGAGAATCCCCAGCTATGCATAGATCTACTTGCACAAACACGGAGGTCTACCCACCAAGGAATGTTTATAAGTCAAGAAACAGCTGAAGCTCAGTGTCAAGGGAGCCTGAGGCATAAACTGAGAGAAATGGCCTAATGCCCACAGAAAAGGATGTTACATCTTATACTGTATGTCTTTTGCATCCAGTCACAGCAGGAGGTACTTTTCAAGTAATCATTAAGAACCAGTGTTCTGCTCCTATGTCAGCACACTAGTAGCCACGCAACAAGACTGAGAGATTCAGTGAATGGGTTGCCTTTCTCAGTGTGCATAGATGACATTTATTTTAGCATTTCCCACCATATAGCAAGAAGCAAAACCACTGGCATACAGAAACGGTATCCATGAAATTCTGCAAAGCGTTATGTCCCAGAACTACACTATGGAGAGAAATGGGCTGTGGGACATGTCCCGCCATTGGTTCCCGTAGACTTGTTCTTTTTCACATCATAGCATAGTGTCTGTTATAATGCTTCTGTATACCCTCAAGTGCTGAGCCTGCCTGATCTTGGATGCTAAGAGGTGTCAGGCCTGGTTAAAATCTGGATGGGAAACTTGAGTCATGCATTGAGCAGGGAGTTGGACCCAATGGCCTTCTAGGCCCCTTCCAACTGTATGATTCTATAATTCTATAATGACAGGAGGGTTTGTAGTGTGTAGGGTTTAATCAGTCTGGTAGGTTTAATGGTGGCTAGATTCAGTAGTCCTCAAAGAGACTAAATGTTCCTACATGTTTGATAATTGTGGTCTTGCATTCACTCATATCTTGTACTACACATGTGCTTCTGGCATTGTTTCTCTTTGTTTTTGGGAAAGTTCATTTCTCAACTATCTAGATTTACCAGAGGGGCAAAAAGCACCCTATTTATTTTAAGTTGTATTTGTGCCTTATTGTTGAGCTGCAAAGTAAGTCATGTTGCTTTAGGGTCAGATTAAACGTGATGACCCAAAATGCTATCCCAAGGAATTTTTCCTCCCATCAAAGCAGCTAGAGGGAGCTGTAATATGAATGAGCAGTGTTTTGGGAAGGGCTCCTTGTTTTTTCCCCTGCAGACTGTTTTCTTATCACATCCCAACCACCACCACCACAAGAGGCCTTTTGCCTTACAGGAAAAATGCACTTATCTTTTCTCCATGGGCCAAAAAGAAGTTGGTAGAGGTGATTCTGATTCAAGCAACATCCTACAGGTAAAGAGATCGGTGGCCTCTCTTCTGGCATAGATTTCAGATTTATATGGTAGGTTCTCAGTGCTGATTTGGGTGTAACCAAAACAAGATGGTTCCAGCAAAATAGCACAACCCAGTTCACACAACATGAACCTATTGCAGGGAGCGATCCATAATGGATTGTTATGTTATCTGAACCAAACTACTTCCTGCAGGATGGCTCCCCCCCCCCACAGCATAGCACCCTAAAAACCCCAGGGCTGTTCTAAGAGTTGTTCAGCCCATGGGTTGTCAAATTTTAATCTAGGCAATGGATGCTGCAATGAGTTGTGGGAAGCAGTGAGCGAGGTGCTTGGCAAAAGCAGCAAAAACTCTTGCCACACTTGACAATCTTGCCATGCCAAAGGGAGCCCTTTTGGAGTGTCCAGCAGCACACTGGAGGAGTTGTGATCTGTTGGGTACCCATATCTTTAAAAATTGGTTATCAAAATGTGCACAAATGTTTTCATTGTTTTGCACAACTACAGAGTCCTGTGAGTCTGAAAATAGGAAGCCTTGCCTAGGCAATGTCCCGGGGGACATCACCTGCTGTTAGAGTGCCACTGTTACCAACCCTTGACATAGACATGGGGAGGCACCAAATGGGAGTGACAGGTCACTTTTTTTTGATGTAATAGTTGTCAGAAGGCAAGTTCTTGAATCCATGAGCGAACTTTGCTTGTGAAATGGGATAGGCATCTTCCATGCCCCTTTGCAGCAAAATCCTCAGAGTTTTGACCATCCCTGCCTTAAGCCCCCAACTTCCCCCCACACATCCCAAATCTCTAGACACTTGTGAAGATGGAAAAATATACCACCACCACTTTGTGCTAATCCTTGCTTCCAGTACCTGTTAAAGGAAGGGATTTTTTTCAGAATACATTTAGGTAAAGCTCAACAGGATGGTTGGACAAGGAAGTATTCAGATTTTGTACTTTTTCTGTTACATTTACCTTGGACTAAAATACAATAAATTCTCTTAAGTGGGTAGTGTTAGTTCTCCAAGCTGCGGAAGGGCTTGCTGCGTTTGCTCCCACAAAGATGTTTCAAGCAAACTGCATTTTAATTACTTTAATTTAAAGCTTTTATTGATGATTGCTAAGAGACTGGTGTCCAGGAGGTGATGTTCCATGTATAAATAACCTTTTCAGTTATTTGAAATTCTGTTCTTGAATAATAATTTGGTTTGCTAGTTGGCTCAAAGTGACAGAGAAGCTATCAGAGTAACAAAATGTCTAGTGAAGCTATTTTTGGGGATAAAATGACTAGAGTGATGCATCACTCAGCAGCAGTTCCTAACAAGCCTTCACCTGCCGGAGCTGCCTGACTCTAGACAATAGTCCACTTTATTGAGACAGCTACCTGCTTGATCTTTACTGTCATTTCTTGAGTCCAGTTCACCCACACATACTAATTTCACAATATTCTCCTTAGCTTGTGATTGCTTTCTCCTTCTGAGAGAGGTTGCATGCCTTCACCTGTGCAAGTGATGGTGCTTATGTATTAACCCCCAAAGGTTAGGATTTAGCTGTCCTTTGGTCAGGTGGCCAATATATAGGTAATATGCTATTTCCCCATTCCTTTTCTATGTATTTCTATACACGATTGGTTTCTTTCTAGGCAGGAGAGATTATACAGCAGGAAGCAGGGGTTGGTGCTGAAGCACACACTGGGAGACAAGAGCAGTCAAGATTTAAGAACTAATCATGGCCACGCCAGCTGTGGGACAAGTGCATTTAGGTTGGTCCCAGTATCCTAGAACAGGTTGTAGCTTGCCTCTTCATTAGCAGGAGTACCTTGTATGAATTTCAAGCTTCTCTAAAGAGTGGGAAAGGACCACACACACACATATCCAGCAAGATGCAGTCCTGCTAAAGCACTGATGGGATGAGTCTGTCTTACCTGTTTCATTCCTGAGGTTCTGCAGGAAATTGTGTCTGTAAGAAGACAAGTAGAGCAGGGAAACCCAGCTGTGCTTCCCACTTACATTAGAGGACTCTGCATCTGGCCTTAAAACAACTACACTGCCAAGAATCCAGCTCTCAGGACTAGGGGAAGAGCCCTGCAAACATAGCAACAGCCTAGCAGCATTTTAGTTCTCTGAAGCTGGACAGGCAGATGAAAGGAATGTGTGAGCTGAATAATTCAGCAGCTGCTGCAAATGTTGCTTTTCTCCTGTTGCTGGCAGGAAGGGAGAAAAGACCTTAGACATGTCTCATGTCTGTTAAGTGTCGCACACAGAAACTGTACCCTGCATGTATACTCTGTGTGGACTCCCATTTGATAGTTTTGGATTTCTAAAGATGTCTGCAGCTGATACTTTTACTTTTATACTTTTATCTAGCTGCCCCAGTCATGTTTATATGTCTGTAGGGAGGAGTAACATTTTACACATCTTTCAGTCTTTGACGATACATTGGACATCTAGCAACATTTAGCAGAAACGTAAAGGTTGGCTTTTCCAGATGGAGCGTTGGGCTAGGCAAATCTCAGGTTGATTCAACCTGACTTTTCTCATACTCTTTAGACTATAGGCATGAAACTAGCAAGAGAAGGGAAGGGTGTGCCTCTGTCTCCCAGTCTCCCACTCCATTCTGCATGCCGATAGGGATATACAGAGTCCTGAAAAAAGAGGTTAGCACCCTTCCCATGCCCTAGGCCTTGCTTGTAGCAGAACTAGCACAAAGACTTGAGATCTTCAGAGCCAAGAGCCAAAGCACTCTTTCAATTCAGCCTTTCCCAACCTGCTGCCATATGTGCTGGACTGTAACTTCTTTCATTCCCAGCCAGCATGGTCATTGGAGGAAACCAGGTTGTGGGAGGCTGACTTAATTCTTCTTTCACTCTTCTAGGTAATTAAAATAGTGGCCTTTAGAGAAAAGAAAATTTAAAAGGAACTACTGCAGATGAGTTCTAACAATCCCGGTCTTTGTTCTCTGCTTTGCCAGTCAGTCTCTGAGTTCTGCTGCCTTGTGTACATCATGATCTTTCCGCTCAACTCCTCATGTTCCTTGTCATTTTTTCCTGCTTAACCCCCAATGTTTGTGATGTCAAACTGCTAGGCTGTTGGCTTTCCTAATTTCCTTTTCATGCTAACCTGCTGTTCCTTTGCAAACTGGTGTCTTACAGTCCTCCTCTTTGCTAGCTGCTCGACAGAGCACCTCCGATGTTCCAACTGCAGCGGATCTTGTCAGTGCAATAGAAAAACTGGTCAAAAGCAAGCTGGTAAGTGTGGAGTCCTGAAATCCTAGGGAAGAAAAATACCCTAGTTGGGCAACACCATAAATCAGCAGCCGGTCCTATTGCTGACTCTCCCTGCTTTCTTCATTATTGATGTTCTGAAGAAATGCTGGATTTTTAGCCACCATCTCATGTTGGTTCCATAGAGTTACATTACAAGAAAACATTTTTGCAAATCTCTCTCTTGGCCATTGTGTGGACATCGGCTAGTAACACCGTTAACTACCTAATAATGTTAGTAAACAAGCAGTTTTCCTGTTTAAATATTTTCTTTTTTATAGTATTGAATGAAATGCTAATGCAAGGTGACCTGAATATTTAGAGTAATCATGACAAATAATTCTTTTCTTTTCATTCTTTTCAGTATTGGTTGTATTTGATGCAATTGCTTCATTTATGATTATTGTGTATTTTTTCTAGCATGAAGAACCAGTTTGGGAAAGCTTGTTTCAAGGGTATTCAGCATATTGTTCATTTTCAGTTCAATATCTCACCTGTTTGCACTCTGGTCGGCTTACAAGTCAAGAGTACAAAATACCCTAATGAATATAGCACCAAGGAGATCTTAGATAAAATGTGTATTGTCTTAAAGTTTTTGTATACTGTTGGATATATCAAATTTTATGTGAAAGTTAAAGACTCATTTACCTTGAAAACACTCTTAATGTATTTGTTTAAATGGCTTTCCCTTGGTGTGATGTTGGGCATTACAGATTAGCAGCACTCTTCTCCTAGTTGGTTTTCTTGCTATAGTGCCCCATAGTCAAAGCTCTACCACTGACATTACTCCTCAGATGTTTTCCTCTGAACAAATGTGCAATGGCATGCATTTTTTAAAGTCAGCTACATTTCCTTACAAAGAACACATACGTTTCTGAGGGAAATCTGCTTTAATTGCAAATTGGATACCATTTGTTGTGGAGACACCCAAAACTGACACACACTTAAGTGTAAACTTAAAATTGCAACCACAGGGTGCAACCCAGTGCCCCCTTGGTTTACACATGTGTGGCTCCAAACTCAGAGGTTTATGTGGATCCAGCACATGGGGTAAGATGCAGTGGTGGTGATCTTACTGCCACTGAACCTTGGACCCTGCATTTCATCTAGCATGCCACACATTTGTTTCAGGCATGTAGATGAAGCCGTGTAGGGGAAGAGCATAGGGTATGCTGGGACACCATCTGGATACTGTGTAAGATATTAGCCCTAATCTCCTTCACTGCCTCTAGTATGCCTGTATGCCTCCTCTCCAAGGCCAGTTTGTGATATTGGACAAGCAGCTGGCTTTCTGCTGGCTGCCCTGGGGGTGGTGTGGAGGCTTGGCCTTTGAAGTCCCAGCACTGAGGCTAGAGGACCTTGGAACCAGTCTAGGGAATCCCATGGTTCATCTCTTCCAGATGATGTCCGGAAGTCATAGGACTGTGCCCTAAAATTCTCTCCTATCTAGGATGGGATCAAACCATTCTCAGGAAACACTGGCATAGTTTTCTAGAATGAATGAATGAGATCTTCTTAGTATAGGAATTGTATTGTACTGAATGATATGGTTTCTGTTCTGCAATCCCCCAACCAAAGCCAAAATAAAAACAAAGAGTTAATGTGATTTAGGAGTTCATTTAGGGAAATTTATTCTCCCTTACTGCTCTTACTAATGATTATGAAGTTGAAACAACTGAGAAATAATGTAACTCTAGGAATGTGGTTCATAGTGAAGATTTTCTTTTGAATCCTTTGGGGGTTTTTTTATCATTATTTTTAAGACATTAGAAGGAGGCTCCTACCGAGGAAGCTTAAAAGATGCTACTGGATGCTTGAATGAAAATTTGACACCTTCAACTCCTCCTCCTTCAAGGAACCTTGAAGAGGAACAAAAAGCCAAAGCTATGAGAGGCAGAATGTAAGTTAACTTTAGGTTAATTACCTTTGTAAGCAGCTGATTTCTCAAACTTATATTTGTTTTGTAGAAAAATGCATTTAGACAGGGCTATTGGGTGGGGAATTTGGTAGTAAGGTCTGTACTGGCTTTGCTCCAGATCAAAGCAAATAATTCTGAAATTTTTCAAAATCAATTAAAAATCTCCCTGGGACACTTTGTTTTGACAACAGAAAGATTGCACTGACCCCACTATTTCTGGTAGAGTGGTGCCCATGCAGGTTGTCCTATGTGATGAGAGCTAGAAGAAGGTGGTTGCTTTGGTGGTTTTGAGTCATCTTGTACCACCTTGTCACTGGTTTTCCTCAGCCCATGGCTGAGGGTGTGACTCGAAGCTCTGCGCATTGCCAGATAGAGACCTTCATTGGACTGCTTGCCCAGTGATGTTTCCCTGTTTTAATCACGCTGCATTGTCCTGGGTTTGGTCAGTGGCTGGAGAAGAGATACTTGTGAAAACTCAAAGTATACCGTTTGAAGTTCTGTCACGGAGGGGATATGTAATAAATAATAATCTATTAAAAGAAGGATTTCTTGGGCATCTACACCTGACGAGTATTTATCCTTGACACTATATACATTTCTTTTGAATTCCAGGTTTGTTCTAAATGAATTGGTACAGACAGAGAAAGACTATGTGAAAGACTTAGGAATTGTGGTAGAGGTGAGTTAAAATAAACTCCACGGGGTATACAGAATTGCATCGTGCCTTCCCAAATGGAATAACTGTTCAATAAAAGCTAACATGGTTCCTTTTATTTCAAGAACCAAAAATGCTTAATTTATTTACCATTTAAGCACAAGGAAGAAATGTATTTAATACTGATTTTTTGCAAACTGTTCTAATTATATTTAAAAGCTGACTTGCTGGGTGCATATCAGTTTTATTCCAAATATGATGTGCAACCCTAAAGTTGGGATTTGAAAATGTACTGTCAAGATGAGTTCATACTGTCACAATAAAAAGATCCCAAAACGAACCTTGCATACTGTTCCCATCCCAGTCTGCCCTAGTTTAATCACTGATTTTCTACTAAAGGGCTTCATGAAAAGAATTGAAGAAAAAGGTGTCCCTGAAGACATGAAAGGGAAAGACAAGATTGTATTTGGAAACATTCACCAAATCTATGACTGGCACAAAGAGTAAGTCTGGAATTGGTTTTAATTGCTAAAATTCACAATACTTGTTGATATGCAAATATTTCATTTGGTCTGAACCACTTTTCTTTCTTATTCCCCACTCCACCCAAATTCAGCACAAATGGTGCTGTATGACCTTGTGGCAATATAAGACTGAATCCATTTACTGTCACAAGGTAGATGGTTTTGAACATCTGTTAGGTCTGTTTTACAAGCTTTAGGCCAAAGCACGGGGTCAGTCCAGAAATCTACTGCCCTGAAATGACTGCAGCCACATAATAAAAGATGTAAATATCCACGTGGGCTTTTTGTGTGCCACAGACGTGACATTGGATAAAGCTGAAAGGGACAGGCCAGTGGATTTCAGGCTTCTCAACATCAGGGAGCCTTTACCTGGGTTTCCCACACAATTTTACATGGCGCTCAGATGATGCCTTTGTGTCATAGCACTCCTGATGTTTTCCCACATTCTTTTTCTTTTGTCTATTCCCTTACCAGAAATAAGTTAAGGACGAAAAGGCAAAATTTTAGCACAATAGTTTTTGATCAGTGGCAATAAGAGCCCTGGGTCTGGGACACGCCATACTGTTTTTGCCTACAGGGGGACTGTTAGGCTTTGGCAGAGGATTCTAGGATACCTTCTCAGGCAGGCTCTGGTTGGGGTGAAGACATCACTAGGCCTGTTGGAGCTGTTCCCATGGGAGTATTCACCATTCCCCTTTAACATGTAGGTTGTGTGGAGGGGATTGCTAGTGAAAGGGGACCCATCTTTCATGGAGGATAGCATGTTACTGTTCTCTTATTTTTATCATTAAAATTGTATTTTTCCAAACCAAACACTGAGTTCTTAACAAAATAAACAAAAAATCCTTATAGACCATCTCATCACATTCTTAACTCAGTAAACATAGGAAGAACATTAATAACAAAACAATACCAGTCCAGACAGTTTTTAAAAAGGGAAAGGAAAATTAAAAGCCAAGATAAGAATTGGCGATAGGGAAAGTTTGAAGGAAGGGAGAAAAGGCAACAGTGCAGTCAGGCTCAGAGTGGAATGAAGACTCACTGGGGAGGAGTCTCTGCTCCAAGAACCAGAGAAAGGCTTGCCAAATATGAATGGAGTACCCTGTCTGTTGTATAGTCCTCACTTCTGTACACTGAGCCACTGAGTTACTGGGGGTATATGGATTTTGAGGAATCTGTTCTCATTGCCAGGCATCAATGGTTTCACTGCCCATTTATTGACAGAACTGGATTTTTTAAAAGGAATGTATGAAAATTTCATTCCACTTGCCTAGGTGTGACTTTGTGCAGATTCCTCTAAAAATTAAAAAAAGAAAAAAGAACCTCACCTGAACATTTGTTGAATCCATGCAAATCAGAAAAAGGTGGTCCACTGTGGAAGTAATCGATGGGATTCATAGAAATCCAAAGTTATTTGAATCTGCTAGGGATTTTTCTGGCCCCCTGTGTTTAGGTGTATATCTCAGGCTTAAACAGTTAGCAAAATAGTTGATTTGTTAAGTGATGTGGTGATTAGAGTGTTGAACTAGGGTCTCAAGAGATCTGGATTCTAGTCCCCACTAAGTCATGAAATTTACTGAGTGACTTTGGGCCAGTCACAGGTGCTCAGGCCCAGCTACTTCACACTGTTGCTGTTGTGAGGATAAAATGGAGCTATGGAAGCTTCATTGGATTCTTCACAAGGAGAAACAAGGTGGGATATAAATACAATTTAATACTAAGAGAGATGCTAGATCAGACCAAGGGTCCATCTAGTCCGCCATTCTGTACACACAGTGTACAGGTCTGTGGTTTTTTTAATGTAAATTATTCCAAATTTTGTGAAATTCTGCACACAGAATCTCAAAAGGAATCTATCAATTGTGGTAAGAACATGGTACAATCCGAAGTACATGATAAATCATGAGTTTCATACTTATCTCCTCTTTATAAGCATCAAGTGCAATGGTTCCAGCAGGCAGCTCAGGTTCCTAAGAAGATTGTTTTGCAGTATTAGTGAGGAGTGTTTTGAGAGGAAGCCTGAGTTTTTATAAACTGTTGCCCATGTGTTTGCATTGCAGTTTTTTTCTTGCTGAACTGGAAAAGTGCCTTCAGGAGCATGACCGTTTAGCACAGCTCTTCATCAAACACGTGAGTTATACCTCAATCCTATACAAATATTAAGTTCCTAACTGTATTTTAATTATGTATGTCAGCTATGCTGATGCTATGAGATTTCATTTAAAAATAAGGCTAGGAATTATATATGATAGGCCTCAGTGTTCAGATTTCCTTCAGACCATAAAACTTGTGTATTTTTGTTATTCTCCACTGAAGTTAACTTTGGAGAATATCTGCAGAAGCAATGTGTTAGCAAAGCCATAACCACAGTAATGTTGTGTTTTGCTTGGCACTTCTTGAGGCTTACACAAAATGTATGAGTGTCTCAGAAGAGGTACCTCTCCTCTGCCAGTTAAGGCACTTCCTACCTGGACAGTGCTTTTATCTGTTTACAGGATGTGTGTCTGCAAGAAAAGAACTAAACTAACACGGATGTATACCACAAGTGAATTAAAGACCAAACCCATAGTACAATCTTTCCTCAAGTCTAGTGTTTAATATTGACTTAAATTGGAATTACAGAACAAATGTGTCTTTGATGGTAACTTGATGGACTTGGAGCAGGATTTGTAGCTAGGAACGGTGGTGTACTTGCTGGATGTCCTTGTATTTCAAGTTGGAGGAATTAACAGTAGCTTAGGAACATCTACCACTGAAATCTGTGCACTCACCTCTTATGTAGAGAAGGCTGTGGTTGGCTGTACCAACTGTCTGCTTTCTGACAATTGTAACAACAAAGGGACCAGTCCTAGCAATCATCCCATTCTTGAGCAGGAGGAACTGCAAGAACCACCCTCATCACTCCTGAGGGGAACCATGGAATTCCTACGTAATACATAATGAAGAAGCACACATACTTGCTCCACAACTGAAAAGAACCCGTCTAGCTCAGGCTAAAGGCCCGTCTCATCCAGCAAGCCCTACCATCAGCTATAGGAAATCCAACAACAGAATTAGCACAATGGCACCTTCCTCTCTGGGATTTCCAGCAACCCATATTGACAGACATACTGCCTTAGATACTGAAGGTTACAGATAGCCATCATGAGTGGTACTGTGGATATCCTTATTCTGTGTGAAATGCCTGTGTCAGCTGCCCTGTGTGTCTGCACTGTGCTTTTGTTTCTCCTGCTTGCTTTCCTTTTCTGAAAACAGCAGGTTGGTGGCTGTCCCACAATCCTGTGATTAGGTGACAGTACAAAATGGAAGCAAAAAAAGCACACATTTCCTAAGCCAGCTCTGAATTTAAGCTGCTGAGAATAATTAACTTTGCTTTCTGCCACTGTCTGTGAAGTGGAAAAAGTTGTACTGTGGACCTCGTCTATGACAGTTGTGTAAATTTTGCTTTTACAGGAGAGGCGATTACACATGTATGTGGTGTACTGTCAAAACAAACCAAAATCTGAATATATAGTAGCAGAATGTGGTGCATATTTTGAGGTAAGATTTGGCAGTCTTCATAGCAAGCTACATTTATGTTGCAGATTAAGCAGAACGGACAGGATCGTTTTTCCCCTCCCATGTATACATGTTCCAACAGTTGTGTCAATTTCTATCCCAGCTTGGATTGTTAGCTATGCCGCTGCCTCCCTTTCCCTTTCAGTGAACACTGCCTCATGTTCCTCCCCAGTTTCTTGCTCTAGTGCCCCTTTTGATTCCTTGCTCTAGTGAATTTCTTGCTAGCACTATCCCTCACCAGTTGCCTGGTCCTTTCATATTTCTTTTCTTCTGTTTATTCTTCCATTCCCTTCTCATCTGGTGTACCTGATCAGTAAAACATATGCATACAATTGCTGAATGCGAAACAGGCTGCCCTAGGTCAGTTTTGCAAGGAAACAAAGTGGGATAGGCATAGGAACAGAGCATGGCAGACTTTTTATTCTTTAAAGCTGCAAAACTCTTCATTGAAAATTTCTATCTTTGAAATCTTTTACTTGCAAGGATGGTTTTTTCTTTCAGTTGTTGCAATACAGATTTGAGATATTTAGCTGACAGGATTATGGGACAGTAATGCTGAAAGATAATGCAGATAATGGAAGAGGGTAACCCTCAATATTTTCTAATTCTACAACTGTTTAATTTGTTGATTAATATTACTTAGGAGTTTTTTTTTTTTTGAGGAACAAATAGTGAGGCAGTGATTGATCTGTTATTAAAATGCATGTGCAGCCTTTTAAAATAAGTTTTATGTTTGATTATTTGCTCACAGTAACTCACACCCTGAAGAAAAACTGGAAAATATATTATTTAGAATATTTTGAATAACTGTTTTAGCAGCAGGCAAGTGCCAAGACTATTGTTCAAATGTTTGATCTAGGAAGCTTTGTGATCACAACAAAAGGCCTTTCTGCCTGTTCAGATGGGGAAAAAATGGGTTAATAATCATCTCATATTCTGCCATAATCCCAAGACCTTGAATGAAGGTACATAGTACAAAACTTTGCTAAATCTCAAAAGGCATGGGCTTCATTGGTGCCTGAATGGGACCCTGTGTATCCTACTTTGAGTTTCATGGAAGAAAGGCAAGACATTTTTTAATGCTGATGTTGCCTGCTTTTATTTTCTAGGAAGTACAACAAGAAATAAACCAGCGGCTAACCCTTAGTGACTTCTTAATCAAACCCATTCAAAGAATAACCAAGTACCAGTTGCTACTCAAGGTGAAATACACTAATGGTATTATATATCTAGCAAAAACATGACCCAGTGAGCTTCTGATAGGAGCAAAGACAAAAACAGTCACTAGCAGACTAAATTAACATCCTCCCCAGATGCACATAAGGCTCTCTGTCTGCACTGTGGAGTTCCCTTTATTTGTCCCCCCCACCCCCCCACTGCATCCTCTGGCAAAATGCATCATTCCTACTGCATCCATTGGCAGGGAAATGCACACTCCATCTATTGGCAACATCTATTGGTCAGGAGTGGCTTGTTGGGTCATGCCGGGTGGCTTGCAGTCATCAGGTGGGTGGTGGGTAGGATGTTCTTTAGATTGACCCCTGCAGTTCAAAGATAAATCTTCATGCTTTTACTCCTTAAGTGTTTGGCATTTACACATTCTTGAGGCTTATTTATATAAAACAATTAAATGAGGGTGTAAATACATACATTTTTGCTTTGGCCTGTAGTCATTCCACCCATGTGTCGATGTAAAGCGAGTAACTCCGTGAGCAAACAGATTTATAAACAATAATAAATTTTCTGTAGCTCCATATTTATTCTAAGTTGCTGCATATAAGAGTTAAAATATGCAATCTAGTAAAATTATAATGTATAAATAGTCAAATTAATACAGCCAATACTTTGTGTCCTCCTTTTAGATGTCTTTTAGAACTTTATTCTTACAGGGAATCATGAGGAGTATTTTGATTATTTGCTCTAGTAAAGCATTATGACCTCTCTGCTCTAAAGGACCCAACATAATCATTGCAGCCTTTATTGGTGCCTTGTCTGTGTGTCCACACATTATGATGGTGGAGGGGTGGGTGGCTACCAGGGTTATAGATTTTGCACACTGGCCAAGTTCATTTGCAGAACACCCTCTTGGGATGATGCATATTTTGAACTTTAGGTGCTGAGTGAAAATATAATTTACACAGAAGACTTGGGAGGGACTTCTGCTGTTTTTCATTTCCTGGAGAGATTTTTGCTGTGGTAATATTATGTTGATATTATATATTTGTGTCTGTAGGTGTATTGTGTTAACTATATATAAAACATAAAAGTCCCCCC